CATAATTAAGACAGGCTTAAGAAGGACTACTTAAGAAAAAGCAAGGTTTGTATTGCGGTTACATCATAGTTTTGAAATGGACGTATCAGCATCTAATCAGTTATATCTATTGATTTTTATAGGCAGCTGTCACTTTCATTCCTGGTGATATTTTAAGGTAGGATCTCTTGAAGACAATGTATTCAGACACTAAGTTAGGTCTCTGGAGGCTTTTACACTTTGGATCTCTTCTACATTTTCTACTTACATCATTTCTGTTTTGTCAGCCACTAGCCGATGTAATTTTAATTTCACTGAGAGTTTGTATCAAATTATGGTTAAATATTGGACTGTAATTGATTGGACTGGAATCTAGTTTATCCTCAGCTCTGAAGCTCAGAGTAATTTTAAGACAAACACAGCAAAAAAGTTCCTGAGAAGCAGAAACCGGGAAGAAATTGCTACATACTTTTCCTTCAGCCGAGAGGAAATAAAAGATATAAATCAAATAATTGTGTTCCCTGGGTTAGGGGGAATTTCCCCCCATTTGTAAATTTTGCTGCTTCAAAGTGCCTCTTTCCTGTCTCCGAATGTGTGTGGAGATTGTCAATCATCCAGATCAGGGGTCTCCAACCTTGGCAACTTGGCAATTCTGGGAGGAATTCAACTCCCAGAATTCCCCAAGATTGGAGACCCCTGATCCAGATCATGGTTTGTCCCAAAGATGCTTTTTGAAAAGGCAACTGGACTTTCTTTGTTTTTTCTTGAAGACATTTCGCTTCTCATCCAAGAAGCTTCTTCAGTCAGAACCGAAGAAGCTTCTTGGATGAGTAACGAAACATTTTCAAGGAAAAACAAGGTCCTGTTGACTTTGAAAAAGTACTTTTGGGACACTTTTCTGTGCAGTTTGCTGCTCTTTTTGGAACACGAAGCTTTGAAACCTCTGCAGTTAGAAGGACAGTTTAACTCTCTATGGAACGAGAGAAACTCAAGACTTTGTGTTATTGGTCATTAAAGAAGTAGACGGGAAAGTTAGGATTTGTTGTTTTATTAAGATACTGGTAGAACATAGTCCTTGTTCGAACAGCTTTAATCATAAATAAAATATGGCTAATACACGATTCCTACGAAAGTCATTAAAGTTACTGGAATAAAACTTTCAACCGATCCCAACATGTTACTAAATCATTCCGACTAAACTGACCTACTTCGTTAGTGTTAGGACAACACAATTAACTTTCAATAGCTCTGTCAATACGCTTGGCATTCTTAGGAATGCACAGTTCTAACGTTTTAGTGATAATCAGGAATGTCAATCTTTTTCCCCCTTTCCAAAAGCAGGGATTGTTAGACACACGTTTTATCCCGTCAAACCAAATTTGACATTTGCGCAATACTTCCAATGTGTTAATAATACTGGTGACTAAATATTTAGTCCTATCGTAGAGCTTATATTATAAAGAGGAATCAGGCCTGGTTAATGGGCGCTAAGAACCCTCGCTAGCGGCATTGTGTTTGTGGGTCCTTTTCGCTCTGGAGCGAACCAGCCGATTCTTGGAAAGAAATCCAGTTTCTTAACTATTCTCCAGTTCCTAGGCAAGGTTGAACTTGAACTATCATTTTTCAGTTTGCCGCATTGAACTTAACACTGCATAGCTGTTTTTCTGGCTTTAACTGTTCTAAAAAGAAAAGGAAATAAACCCCCCCAAAATCGCCTTTCAATATACAACAGTGTAGCTAATGTAAACACAGGACAGGTAGGTCTACTTTATGAATCTAAAGGTTCTAATTTGAAAAAGGTTGTAATATGGAAGCAGGGGAGGGCTAGATGCTGTCTGACTACTGAGGTCTCTTCCTCTTAAGGACGTTCTCTCTCAGCCAGGGAGAAATATCCTCCTCTGCTTGCTTTTTTGTGGGGATCTCTAATTTGCTTAGGAGGAGACTAGCAGATTGTGCTTTTTCAGGAAGTACGCAGAAGTCGGAGTAGATTCTAAAGTGCTGAGAGTGATTGATGGCACTTCAGGGTATAAATATTTCAAACCTTCCTTCTGTGCAAGTGCAGAGCAACTGAAGTGGATTAATCAGCAACAGGATAAACGTTGCATGCAGTCCTCAACTTAGAACCATTCGTGGAGCGGCCCTGCGAGGTTACGACAGCACTGGAATAAGTGACTTGCAGCCTCAAGCTCACCTGGTCCAACGTTTGGGCAGCCAGCAGATACGTACCACAGTCGCAGCATCCGGGCATCACGTGATCGCCACCCACAAGCAACAGAGAAAACTTTTATCTGCTTAATGGCCACGCGATTCACCTAACGGCGGGGTTTGCTTAACAACCATGGTCGAAAAGGTCAGAAAATCAGATGCAGCTTACTAAACCAGCTGCCTTGCTTAGCGACGGCAACGCTGATCCCAATTGCGGTTGTAACTGGAGGACTACCTATATTCTAATTCCTGCTGCAGAAGGTATTCCTCCTAATTCTATCCGGTTTCTATCAGAGGGGGATTAAAGGAATCCCTTTGTAAGTCACAGTGGATAAATTCACAAGCCGGCTCCCCAGCGGCCTCTCTCCTTAACCAACTGCTACTGCTTCTGTGTTCTTACACAACCGATGCAGATTTGTGTGAACTTTTGAGAGATACTTCAGACCTTTATTGGAAAGATTTCAGTATGCAAATATCAAGCCACTAGTTAAATACAACAGATTTACCACACACTTTACAAGACGACCAACATTAACACGGTTAAATACCTATATTAGTTGTTTTTGTTTTGTTGTATATTTTCACCAGCTAAAAGGATCAAAATACGAGATACTGAACATTAAGATTAATCGTTAATTTAAAAGGAGCTTATTGCTTACGTCAGCAAGCAGCAAATGAGGGCGCAGGAGTTGTAACTGAAGGGGAATTACTTCCTATTTTACCAGTGGCAATGAAGAAAAAAAACACAGCATGTCACAAAGCACGTTTTTTTTTTCCTTTTTGTTTTGTTCTGTTTTTTGTTTTTATCTCTTAAACGCCTAGTGTCATAGAATCAAGCGGCACGAACCAGAATCTGGAACAACTACTTTTAAAATATGTCATTATTACCACGTTTGGAGAGGGAAAAAAAATAAATCGCCTCACAAATGGAGTCTACACACTTTTTATCACTACGTGAGATGAAAGAAATGGACATGCTCTACTTGTTTGTAACAATATTTTTGTACTGGATCACAGTAGGAATCCACTGACCGGCTCTTTCCTGCAGGGTCAAACGTGGCGAGCAGCAGGTAATCCACCTATCCATCCACAGGCGTGAAGTTTTAACTTTGTAAACACGAGAGAGAGAGAGAGATGTTCCACAACCAGAACCTTCCAAGGATGCCTCCATTTTGGGAAGACCATCCAATACTTCCATGGCACCTCCGAACTTGGTCGTGTCTCCGGAGAATTACTTTTGCGTGTTGCATTGAAGACAGCAATTGGATCTATCACTCCTTGACTGATTTGAAATTTTTTCAGACAAGGTAGCACTTGTACTCATCTCCTTGTCACCCTCTACATTACGTGATACACCTAAGCTTGTAGTTGCCAAATAACAAACAAATGGTTGGTTCTCCCTCCCATTCCATAAGTACGCCTAAAGTAAAGGCTATTAATCCCATTTCACAGCATAACACTGTTTTCCTCTCGTGTAGCGTTTGTCACCCTTGCAATTTTTATGAGGCGTGGACTTCCAACTCCCAGAATTCCCCATCTAGCATGGCTGGCTAGGGAATTCTGGGAGTTGAAGTCTACATGTCTTAAAAGTTGCTCGGGTTGAGAATCACTGCTCTTCACAAGGTGTGGACTCCAATTCCCAGGATGGCTGGAGAATTCTGGGAGTTGAAGTCCACACCTCACAAAGTTGCCAAGCGTGAAAAATACGGCTCTAGAGGATCCTTTCCCAATATGGCATCCGTCACAATTTCCAATTACGATGTCCAGATTTTGAGGGTTGCAGTTCCAAAACCTCTAAAGGGTATCTAGTTAAGGACTACCTCAAATATATTTCTTTTTTAAAAAAATCAAACTGTCAGACCACGAATCAAAGTTCAGAAACATTTTCCTAGAAACTATTTAAATGTGCACAACCGCATCGTGCACTGGTTAATTTTACTGATCAGAATATTGTGGAATTTTGGTGAGGTTTTTTTTTAAGATAGTGTAAGTGGTGTGTTCAATATTTTAAGTACCTAAAAGACACCTGACATGTTTTATGTGATTCTGTTAGATCCCAGCTACCTAGCTTATGTGAAAATTAGTGTTTGTTTCAAGAATATTTTACTCATCAGGATTAAAATAAAAAATGGAAGGCAATCCTTAAGACTCATCCTGAACCTCTAACTGGCCATTTAAATCTCCAAACCTTTACATCATTTTTCTAAAGTTGCTATAGTCGATGGCCACATTCATATTTTATTTCTTCTTCTGATTACTGCTCCGGACATCCCTAGTAGGTAGCTTCATTTCCTATTCTCACAGCCTCTTCAGTTGAAAATGCAAGAAATTGGAGCAAAAATGTTTCCGACACGCGATTATTTCTAAAAAAAAAATTAAAAAAAGATTACAACTTCTCATCTGGGAAAGCAGAACGGATGATAAATTGGCGATTTAAATGAGTTTTCAATAGGACAGTGTGAATTGTATCTGAACTGACTTTTACATCCGTTTGACACCTGAGTTAAAGGATTGGGAAAGAGAGCACGGTGGCTTGAATCAGCCGCAAAATGATGATAAATCTTGAGCTGTTTAAGTATTATTATTACTCCCCCCACCCCTGTTTAAAAGGCTAAACTGTCATTAAGGAACCCCTCCCTTCCCAGAAGCCCAAACAAGTTAAGTGTGATTTCAGTATAGTTTCGATTTTAGCAGCAGGAAAATTCCCTTTTCAAAAAAAAAAAAAAAAAACTACAAAAGCTTGCCATGGCATTGCTTCCCCTTGCCCCCATCTCCTCAATGGGAGGGAAAAACAATTAAAAGGTTAAATACTTGAACTGCACCTGAAGGGTTGGGAAGGGCCCAGGTGCTAGATTGAACCTCCCATATGGCTTTTTAACAGCAGACCTGCAAAACAACCTGATAACATAATTTTTGCTCTATCTGATTAAAGAAGCCCAAACCCCCAAGGATTCCTTATACGCCTTCTTACTTCCTCCTCTCCTCCACTTACAAACAAGCCCAAAAAAATCAAAACCCATCGGTTCTAGAAAGTCTTTCTGAAAATATTGCTCCGTAGACTTCTCTCGTAACGGGTTTTTCTCTCATTATTATTTTTTTGCAAATTCTTTTTTTTTAAATGGCACTTTCCTGTCTTGTCCAGCGAGTCCATAAGAATATCCAGTTCCCACGAAGAAATGAAGCTACTACACAAAGAGTACATACAGATCCGTGTGAGTGTGTGTTGTTTATACATGAGAGAGAGATTGAATGTGTCCACGAAGTTGCTAGGGAGACTGGTATGCCAATCCTTTGTTTTTGTTTTTCCCAATTTTTGAAGACAAACACTTGGATGTATTTACATGAGCAGAGCCTTCCGCGATATCCTAATTCTGAAACACTCCCTCCGAATTACTTCTAATTATGTGAATGTCTAGCCTATTGAAGAAGAGGGGAAAAAAATACAATGGAGGGAACGTGTTATTTTTTACAGCTCCACAGCAACCATGGGTCTGGTGGTATACAGGAACTTGGCCTTAGCATCAAGAAAATACTCTCGCCGTGACCTTGATGGCAGCCCAGGGAAACTTGCCCAAGATGGCTTCTTAGGAACTTGTTCCTACGGCCATTTACGTGGTTGGGTGAGCAGAGGGTTAAACCTTCCGGACATAAAAGGGACCTCTGCTCGAAGAGAAACCCATTGAGCTTCGGCTTCAGTCTAGCTAACCGTTGCCACCGCTTGGTGTCGCAGAAATGAAAGTGAGAGAAAATGGACGCTTTTCTTCCCCACGACTTGAACCACAAGCCTTCGGGCCCGGCGGGGATCGGGGCCTCCACCAACACCACGCTGCACTCCCCTGGGGTTGGAGACCCCAAGTTCGCGGAGCCCCGGAGGGCGTTCTGATCCTGGGGAGAAACCTCGTCCCTTCTCTTGCCGTCTCCCAAAACGCCTTGACTCAAAATCGCCCTCTTTGGTACGCCAGCACTGAAGACTTGATCTGGAGAAAGGCGTTTGGCACTGTGGAGTTTGCCCGCTTCTGTTTTCCTCAGGTCTAAGCAGCCGGGCTCTTCCAAGATGTTGATGGTGGAACCGGCGCTCAAGGTAGTTCTGTCTGTAAAGGAATCCACTCTGCCGTCGTAGCCCAAATCGGCAGGCGCCGAGACCTGGTGCTGAGGCCACTGTCTCTTGCAATCTCCCTGGTTCTCTTTGTCGTCACCGCTGTCCTCTTGCCCGCCTTGGAAAGAGTTCTCGGTCCACTCAGATTCTTCGTCAACACTGTCGGCGGCGCTCATGTCCCTGAGAAAGACCACAATGACGGTGATGTTGTCACTGGAGCCGGCATCTCGAGCGGAAGCCACCAACTTGTGGGCTACCATGGTGCTGTCCCCGTTGTTCTCCTTCAGGTGGTCGGCCACCACTTTCACCGCCTCGTCGGGGTTCACCGTGTCGTAGAAGCCGTCGCAGGCTAGAATGAGGTAATCCTCTGATCCATCCAGCACTGTGGATCCAGAATCTGCTTCTCCACAGATATATGGCTTGTGCTCTGCATCACCTGGAAGAGGTAGATTAAAAAAAAAGAGAGAGAGATTTAGGCTTCTGACACATACCCGTTAAACCATGGGTGTCAAACTCAAGGCCCGTGGGCCAGATCCAGCCCATTGGGTGCTTAGATCTGGCCCGCGGGGCCACCCTGAAAACAGCGGACCGGCCTACAGTGCCTCTGCTAGCAAAAATAGCTCCATTTTCACTGGCAGAGGGTTGCAGGAGGCCATCACAGCTGAAAACGGAGCTCGGGAGCCCGTTTTCGCTGGCAGGGTGCTCGGGCCACCACAGGCGCCCCTGACATGAGTGACATAGACCTGGCCATGCCCCCCAGCCCCCCCCCCCAAGGTCAAACACAACCCTGATGCAGCCCTCAATGAAATCAAGTTTGGCACCCCTGCGTTAAACCATCCATGCGTGTTTTGCTTTTAACCTCTAGCGTTTTCCCGATGCTTTACTTGGCTCTGCTCCAAAAGTATCGAGACATAGACATTTTCATTCAATTTGTCCACTCTGGCTGCAGCACTTCCTGACTACCAGCAATCCACATTAACAACTGTGTTGTGCAAAGGGCACAACAGGGAGGTAACATTTTTCTCCTACCAATGGCTCTGGAGACAGAAAGGCTTCCGTTGACTCGCCATGCTCCGAACCAGACCACACAGCCTCCAAGGGCCTCGATGCGTTTCTTCTCATCCTGAAACAGAAGACAAAGCACCCGTTGGTTGAACTGCCTGCTGTTGCTGCAGTGGAATCTATCTAACTCCTTAGCACTATGTGTACACCTATGTCCTCAATTTTCATCTCAAACCATAAAAACAAAATTATTCTATCTATTTAAAAAACCCTCCCTTTTTACGACCCAGTAGTCCCTTAATTCAAGGTGGAGTTGGCACGACTGGATGGAGCTGTGCTTTTACTGGCTGGACACCGTTCCTGATGCCACACAGAGTTCGCAGCAGATTTTTATTTTTTGCGCCCTAGGAGAAAAATAGCCACTACCTAGCATTGAACTCTCAACCTTCCAAGTGGGAGGCGAGTGTCTCCACCACTAGGCCACCGTGCCATTCTACATCTCTCTCTTTTTCTCATCTGTTTGTCTGCCTGTTATCCACCTACCTATCTCCCGATCTATTGTTCTATATCTATCTACATCTGTCTGTCTATCATCTATCAATCTAACTCTATGTATCATTTATCATCTATCTCATCTATCGTCTATATCAATTGTCTCTCTGTCTATATATCTATATCTATGTCTATATCATCTATTTATCTTACTATCTATCTCATATTCTATATACTGCCTGCCTACCTCTATCTAATCTCTCTCTCTCTCTCTCTCTCTCTCTCTCTCTCTCTCTCTCTCTCTCTCTCTCATCTATCTATCTCTTCACCTATCTATCATCTATCTATTTATACCTATCATCTATCACATTTTGGAACCGCCCTTCTACCTCACATGGGGGATTCTGGGCAGTGTACAATGAAATATTAAAACACAAAAACATCATATAAAAGTTAAAAAGAGGCAAGGATGGTAAAACTGTGAAAAATTAATTGAAAAATGGGGAACGCACCAATCACAATTTTCTTTTTAAAAAATCCCATCTTTTGCCAACCAGTCCCGGGACTGCGTGTTCTACTGTGCCCCGAGCAAGGAAGGCCTCAGAGCCATGTTTTTACGCCTTTCCAGAAGACCAGGAGAGTGTTGTCTGTGTGTGGGGGTTAACCTCGCGGGGGGGGGGGGGGGGGGGGGGCGAGTGTTCCACAGGGCGGGGTCAATGACAGAGGAGGCTCTCTTCCTGGAAACCCCCCCCTCCCCCAGTCTGAATTCTTTAACTGAGTCTGCAACATCCCTTCCCACCTTGACAGGTTGGTACAGGCCGATGTAATGGGATGAAGACATTCCACAGGTAGCCCAGCCCCATGCCAATCAAACAGGCACCCAGTATAGGCCGTGGAGCAAAGGTGTTACATGCACCCTTCTTTTGGGTACCCGAAAATTGCCTCTGTAGCTCCATTCTGTACCAGCTGAAGCTCCCAGATACTCTTCAAGGGCAACTCCACGTAGAGCACGTTGCACTAGTCCAAACAGGAGATGATTGGGGCGTGAGCAACCAAACAAGAGAGCCATCCCTATCTAGGAAAGGGCATTCGTTCACTGGCACACCATACCAGTTAGCGCAGGGGTGTCAAACTCAAGGCCAACGGGCCAGGTCTGGCACGCCGGGGGTTTAAATCTGGCCTGCGAGGCTGGCCTGGAAATATCAAAGGACCGGCCCGCAGTGTCTCTGCTGGGCAAAATTGGCCTTGGCGGGGGTGGGTGGGCGGGGGGAGAACTCATGTGGCCTCCCTGCGTCCTGTTTTCGGCCTCCCTCGCCTCCAGCTGAGCACTCTGCCGGCCAAAAACTGGCCATGTGGCCAAAAACTGGCCTTCGCGCGGCTTGTTTTTGGCTGGAAGAGTGGTGCTGGAGGCGAGGGAGGCTGAAAATGGGCCCTGCGGGAGCCTTACAGGGTCTCTGCAGGCTCATTTATGGGTGGGAAGAGTGCTGCAGGAGGACTTTGAGATCGAAAACGAGGGGCGAGGGGCTGTGCACTGTCTCCCTGCACCCTGTTTTGGCCAGCAAAGTGCTTCAGGAGGCATCCATCCCGTCTCTCCGCCCGCTCCCTGCGTCAGCCCGGCCTGCGGAGGAGAACTACAACGCTGATCCAGCCCTCGATTTCCTTGAAGAAATCCCATTTCACACCCCTGAGTTAGCGAATGCAAAGATGCTGCACACCACACTGGGCTGCTGTCGGCCAAGTCCCCATGTTCTACGAGGGGTTTTGTAGTCCTAGAGCCGACTCACCTCCCGGTCTGGCTTATGAGGCTTCATCAGTTCTACCGCCTGGCCCCTTTTCACGAGCATGACTTGCGAGTCTCCCAGCCAGGCCACGTACAACATGTTCCTTCGGATGAACGTCACGACACCTGTGGTGCCACATCGCAGGCTCTGGGAAGAGAAAAACACAACCGTCGTTTGGACACACTTGAGAAAACGGAACCCTAGTTCGGGCTCTTCCGACACACCCTGACCAAGCCCACAGTTGGACAAACAGAACATAAACCAGCTTCTTTGTGTTCCAGGCAGTCCTCGACTTACAACAATTCACTTAGTGGCCATTCAAAGTTACAACGGCACTGAAAAAAGGGACTCGGGGCCCGTTTTTCACACTTACGACCGCTGCAGCATCCCCGTGGACACGGGATCCAAATTCAGATGCTTGGCAAAGTGACTCATATTTACAACGGTTGCAGTGTCCCGGGGTCATGGGATCCCCTTTTGTGACCTTCCAACAAGCAAAGTCAATTGGGAAGGCCAGTTACACTTAATAACTGAGTTCCTAACTTAACAAGTGCAATGATTCACTTAACAACCGTGGCAAGAAAGGTCGTAAAAATGGAGCAAAGTTCACCTAAAACCATCTCACTTAGCAACAGAAGTGTTGGTCTCTGTCATCGTAAGACGAGGACTACTTGTGCAGTTCAATATATTTTTGAAGCCGGCGCAGGCAATAAGAGATTTTTTTAAACCAAACTGTTTGAAATACTGACATGCATTTCTGATTTGGACGTCCTCAACGCCCAGAGCAAAATCATTGTGAAAGCTGTCCTGACACATGACTTAAGGAAAGAAAAAAAATTGAGAGCATCCGTGGATATGTAAATTGGTAAGTATTAATACGAAGAGTTATTTTTGTTCAACCTTTCTACTAAAGGAACGGACAGATAACTGGAAAAGTCTACTGGCTTTTGCGGTGATCAAAGCCATCCAAAATAGCTTCTGCTTCAGGCAAAAATAAAGTGTTAGGGATTTACTCAGAATAGGAAATATTTGAGTCGATGAATTCTAGAGCCATGTGAAGGCCAGGGTGAGATCAGTTTGCCAAAGGAGAACGGCCGTATTTTTCAGAGTATAAGACACACTTTTTACACACACACACACACACACACACACACACAAAGTGGGTGGAAATGTCTGTGTGTCTTATACAGCGAATGTTTGCTGAAGCCCCCACCCACCCGCCAGCCTCCTTGCAGCAAATAGCAAACAGCCTGTTTCAGCTTCAGCACAACCTGATTAGCACAAGCAGCTGACAGTCGGTTGGATCGACCTCCCGACAGTCAGCTGTTTCAGGCTGCAGGGATTGCCGTCGCCTATTGCTGCCTCTGTGCACTCCGTTTTTGGCATCCGCGCGCCCCATTTTCTGCCCATTCTGATCCCCGCTGCCCGGAACGGGCCGAAAATGGGGTGCGCGGAGGCGGCATTAGGCAATGACAATCCCTGCAGCCTGAAACAGCTGATCGTTGGGAGGCCGATTCAACGGACAATCAGGCTGTGCTGAAGCTGAGCAGGCTGTTTGCTATTTGGTGCAAGGAGGCAAATCGCTGGGAGTCAGAGGCAGATTTTTTTCCTCCCTTGTTTTCCTCCCCAAAAGCTAAGGGGTACTTCGGAGTGTCTTATACTCTGAAAAATAGTATAGCTTTCTATGCCCATGCTTGAAATGAGGTAGGTCATTTGGCTTCAGGAAAATAAATAAAATATTGGCAGATTTCCTTCCAAACAACTACAGGCAGTGGTAGAATGGGTTCACTTAACAACCACCACCAAAAAAAATGTCATAAAACGGGTAGGTCACATGAGTGTTTCCGATTATGAATCATGAATGTATGATGGAAATTCCAGCCTCCATCATGGGTAATAAGTCGAGGACTACAGGACAGGTGGTCCTAGGCTTATAACATTTTATTTAGTGACTGTTCAAAGGTACAACGGCACTGAAAAAAAGTGACTTATGACCATTTCTTTGCACTTCTGACCACTGTAGCATCCACATGATCACATGACGCAAAATTTGGTTGCTTGGCAACTCATTCATATTTATGACAGCAGCAGTGTCCGGGGGTCACCTGTTCCCCTTTTGTGACCTTCTGACAAGCAAAGTCAAAGGGGAAGCCAGATTCACTTAACAACTGTGTGACTAATTGAACGACTGCAGGGATTCGCTTAACAAATGTGGCAAGAAAAAGTCGTAAAATGGGGCAAAGCTCACTTAACAAATTTCTCACTTAGCAACATACATTCTGGGCTCAATTGTGGTTGTAGGTCGAGTTATCCTCTATGAAAATGACTCTAGGTAAGGAATACGGTGGCTCATATGGTTAGGATGCTGGGCTGGAGGTTAGCAAGCCCGCGTTCGAGACCCGTATGCTGCTGCCTGCTGGAGTGAGCTCCTGTCATTCGCTCCAGCTCCTTGACAGAGACATGAAAAAAAATCCCGCACGGGCATCGCTTAGGCAGCAATGAAGTCATTAGCTAATCCTTTCGATCCAGAAGTGTCTTAAACCAGGGGTCCCCAACCAGCTGCCTATGGCCTGTTCAGAGCCATGCTGCAAAAGCGGCAGGTCAGTGTGTGTTCGTCATTTAGCTCCACTTGCACAAACGACGGGTAAGCGCATGTGCATGCAAAGCTCCATTTGTGTGGGCGGTGTGTGCGCGTGCCTGGCCACTTGCACAAACACATGCACCACTCACGAGGAACCATCTCACCTGCCCCTCCCCGCTGACGGCCCACTAAACCAGAAAAGTTGAGGGGGGGGTGGCTGCCTTAAATGGTGCCTCCGATAAGAATGGAACGGGGGTTCTAGATCAGGGGTGTCAAACTCGCAGTCCGTGGGCCGGATACGTCCCATATTGACCACGCCCACCCCCGGTTTAGCGAAGGGGGGAAAAGCTGGAAAGAGTTTGAGACCCCCTGTTCTAGATTCAGCCCAATCGTAAACCAGAGGTGTCTGAAACCCACTGTCAGCGTTCCAGCAAACCTCCATTCCAACCAATCACTCCGAGACAGACATCTCTCTCTCAAAGTTTCCTTTTATTTGGATAGTAACTGGCACATCTGCGGAATCCCGAATCTGAAAGTTTTGGGTTTCCTTGCCAAAGTAAAAACTACAAATTCATCCCCTATAACTGTGATGGCGAACCTATGGCACACGTGCCACAGGTGGCATGCAGAGCCGTTTCTGCTGGCACGCGAGCTGCAGGCAAACTTACCTCACTGTGCATGCATGCGCCTCAGCTGTTTTTCTGCAGGCTTTGCAGGACGAAAACTAGGCCCGTTTCGTCACTTCCTGTTTTTTCCGAAAATACCGGAAGCGATGAAACAGGGCTAGTTTTCGGCCCGCAGAACAGAAGCCTGCAGAAGCCTTCCTCAAGCCTCTGGGAGGCCAAAAAAGGCCTCAAACCAACCCAAAATCAGCTGCGAGGCGCAGTGCAGGTAAGGGGCCAGCAGAATAGGTGGGTGGGTGGGGATTGCGCACGCATGCGTAGGGGGCGTGGGGGGATTGCACATTGCCTTCTGGGTGCTTGCACGTGAGTGCGAGCGTGCAAGCGCACGCACAATTTTTGGCACAGGAGCCCGAAAAGGTTAGCCACCACTGCCCTATACCCATCACCACCTCACATGGCCCAAGCGCCATCCGTCCCAAAGTAAGACTTCCTTTTCACTATGTGCAACACTACATGACCTTGAGCCAGCAAAAGAATTTTATTTTGTCTAACTAGGCATACCCAAATGAACCCCCCCCCCCCCCACTTTCCCAGGCTCAACTGTGGCAGCATGGGAGCATCGGATCTCAATATGGCTTCCAAAGCTGACACCCATGTCCTGCCCGTTCGCTCAACTGGAGAATTCAGTTCACCTCTCTGGCTGCCTTCTGCACAAAACGTTCATCCGTCACCCGGAAGGCTTTGCAGAGGGCTTCCGCCGGGTCGTGCTGGAACGCTTCTTGGTGCACCAAATTCACGTGCAGGTGAATGGAGGCGTAAATGGCAGCGTCCACTCCTCCGTGGCCGTCAAAGACGGCAAAATAGGCCTGCTCCCCTTGATCCTGCCGATCAGAAGAAGAGCAAATCAAAAGAGAGAATGAGCCCAGGGCCAGCAGCTTCAGCCACCAGGTTATGCAGAGGGCCTTTTAATGAGAAAAAAATTAAGTCCAGCTGGAACCAACTAAACATCACACGTGGGGGTTAGTCCTCCAGTAGTGGGACAGGGGATAGGAAAACTTCCCGGTGGAAGAATCCAGACCACATGTTAATAAGCTCCAGTTATGCTGATTTGTAAGGGACATGGTGGCTCAGGGGCTAAGATGCTGAGCTTGTCGATCAGAAAGGCCAGCAGTTCGGCGGTTCGAATCCCTGATGCCGTGTAACGGAGTGAGCTCCCGTTCCTTGTCCCAGCTTCTGCCAACCTAGCAGTTCGAAAGCATGTAAAAATGCAAGTAGAAAAATAGGGGCCCCTTTGGTGGGAAGGGAACAGTGTTCCATGCGCCTTTGGCATTTAGTCATGCCGGCCACATGACCACAGAGACGTCTTTGGACAGCGCTGGCTCTTCGGCTTTGAAACGGAGATGAGCACCGCTCCCCTAGAGCCAGAAATGACTAGCACGTATGTGCGAGGGGAAACTTTACCTACTCATACCTACTCGCAAAGATCTAGTCAACAGTCAGCACTAAATTGGCACTAAGTAAATGGAATTCAAGAGGAATTAGGCTTAGACAGCTTGTGGGAACGTAATGATTCTAGGCTGATTACTCTCTTCACTCCTACCCCTCCACCCTCACCGAACCAGGTTCTGCTACTCCTTCTCCTGCAGTCTAAGGGGTTGCCACAAAGAACAGGGGCTCAAGCTATTCTCCAAAGCACCTGAAGGCAGAACAAATAGCAATGGAAGGAAATTAATCAAGGAGAGAACCAACCTAGAACTAAGGAGGGATTTCCTGATAGTGAGAACAATTAATCCGTGGAATAAATTGCCTCCAGAAGCTGTGGGTGCTTCAACATTGGAGATTGTTAAGAAGAGACTGGACGGTTTTTGGTCCGGAATGGTCTCCTCCCTGTGCAGGGGTTGGACTAGAAGACCTCCAAAGTCCCTTTCTGACTCTTGTTATTCTGATGAGACGATAGTATAGAGCAGTGAACTCTGGGAGTTGAAGTCCACAAGTCTTAAAGTGGCCAAGGTTGGAGACCCCTGGTGTAGTGGAATGTAGTCTGGATTCCCAGGAGGAGGGGCTGCATTCCAGAGGACCCAAGAGACAGCAAGGTTTAGATCGTTTGGTTGGGAGGAAGAGGCTCAAGACGCTCTCAGAATATCCTTCTAATGATGTTGTAGCCTGCTTTAGTTTGGCAAGTTTTCCATCTATATTAATA